TTTGCCCAGACACAAGACACGAACACACTCACCACCACAGAGTCTGGGTACAGTCAAACACCCACGCCCCATACAAACGCCAAACATGACAATGCAAAGAACATCACCTGCATTCTGCTCACCAAGGATGAACACACAGCACTGTTCTTCACCACTTCCCAGAACCAACGTCAGACAACGGCAACCACTCACAGAACAAACACTGACCACTCCATCAGCCTAACACACTACACTGAACATACAGGGAAAGACTACACATCTTCAGAAATGGTAGGCACCTCTACACTGCAGGAGACAACTGAACCTGGACCTGGACCAGAGGTGCCTCCGGCAACAGATCATGTTCTCATATCTGTTGTCGTTGTTTCGGCAGTAGTCGGCCTGGTCTTGTCGTCCCTTGTAGTGTTGGTTTTGAAGTTGTGCTCCACAGGGACAAGCGAGGATGAGATGGACAGTGACGATGCACACGTTTGGACCATCCCGCCTGGGGTTACCTTCCCCGGCTTGCTGAGGTCTGCTTCCCTCCCTGCACGTTCAGGCAAGATGGCGTCGGATGACGCAGTTTCCTGTAGGTCATTGCCCGCTGTCCTGCATTCCATCGAACCTACTTACAGCCAGATCCCAGATGACGTAGCCTTGGCCCATAGACCTCTGCCTGGCCTGCCGCACGTGTACTGCGAGATCCCAGAAGGCGCACTCCCCAGTGTGGTCCGGTCTGCGTCAGTTCCTGCGTGCACTCGCGAGAGCGCCGCAGACGATTCGGCGTCCTGTAGGTCATTGCCGGTTGTTCTCTTCTCCATTGAGCCCACCTACAATCAGATCCCTGATCACATGGCCGCTGCCCAGCGCCCCCTGCCGGCTCTCCCGAGCACAGCCTGGGAGATGCCAGAACACGGAGCCGCTACACAGCGCCCCCTGCCTGTCTCACACCATACCTACAGTGAGATCCCAGACGACGAGGAGAGCGGCCCCATGCCTTTCTACGCTGACGCTGCACAAGCTTCGCTTCATGTTGTCACAAACAGAGGACAGGTTCGACGGGCCTTCCGGGATGTCACAACTGCTTCCAACAGACACCTGTCTGGAAGATCCATACCCGCATATGGATCAGCTGAACAGACCAACGCCCAGCACAATACCTTATATAGAAAGACCCTCGATGCCCAGGACATAAGAGCCCGTAGAAATCTGAGGACAGGTTTGGTATCCCATTCTACCCACCAAAGTTTGAAGACGTTCGTCCACGTCACAGATGCGATTCTGTCAAGAGGTCAGGAGGTCACAGAGGCCCATATCGCCTTCCTCACACACCCTCAGCCTGGTGGCCATTGGCCTTGGGAGATCCCAGGGGGCGGTTCCCGTATCACACCACGGCGGGTGTCCCTCCCCACCGTCACACTACCTAACACTTACTGGCCTTGGGAGATCCACGGGGAGGGAACACATATCACACAACGGCGAGCCTCTCTCCCCACCGTCACACTACCTAACACCTACTGGCCTTGGGAGATCCCAGGGAGGGAACACGTAACACACCACGGCGTGCGTCCCTCCCCACCGTCACACTACCTAACACTTACTGGCCTTGGGAGATCCCAGGGGAGGGAACACATATCACACCACGGCGTGCCTCTCTCCCCACCGTCACACTACCTAACACCTACTGGCCTTGGGAGATCCCAGGGGAGGGAACGCGTAACACACCACGGCGTGCTCCCCTCTCCACCGTCACACTACCTAACACCTACTGGCCATGGGAGATCCCAGGAGAGGGAACCTGTAACACACCACGGCGTGCGTCTCTCCCCACCGTCACACTACCTAACACCTACTGGCCTTGGGAGATCCCAGGGGAGGGAACACCTAACACACCACGGCGTGCGTCCCTCCCCACCGTCACACTACCTAACACTTACTGGCCATGGGAGATCCCACGGGGAGGGAACACATATCACACAACGGCGTGCCTCTCTCCCCACCGTCACACTACCTAACACTTACTGGCCTTGGGAGATCCCAGGGGAGGGAACACGTAACACACCACGGCGTGCTCCCCTCCCCACCGTCACACTACCTAACACTTACCGGCCTTGGGAGATCCCAGGGGAGGGAACACATAACACACAACGGCGTGCCTCTCTCCCCACCGTCACACTACCTAACACCTACTGGCCATGGGAGATCCCAGGGGAGGGAACACGTAACACACCACGGCGTGCGTCCCTCCCCACCGTCACACTACCTAACACCTACTGGCCATGGGAGATCCACGGGGAGGTAACCCGTAACACATCACGGCGTTCGGCCCTCTCCATCGTCACACTACCTAACACCTACTGGCCATGGGAGATCCCAGGGGAGGGAACACGTAACACACCACGGCGTGCTCCCCTCCCCGCCGTCACACTACCTAACACCTACTGGCTTTGGGAGATCCCAGGAGAGGGAACCCGTAACACACCACGGCGTGCGTCTCTCCCCACCGTCACACTACCTAACACCTACTGGCCTTGGGAGATCCCAGGGGAGGGAACGCGTAACACACCACGGCGTGCTCCCCTCTCCACCGTCACACTACCTAACACCGTACTGGCCATGGGAGATCCCAGGGGAGGGAACCCGTAACACACCACGGCGTGCTCCACTCCCCACCGTCACACTACCTAACACCTACTGGCCATGGGAGATCCACGGGGAAGGAACCCAAAACACACCACGACGTTCGGCCCTCCCCACCGTTACACTACCTAACACCTACTGGCCATGGGAGATCCCAGAGGAGGGAACCAATTAAAAACACACCACGGCGTGCACTGCTCCCCACCGTCACACTACCTAACACCTACTGGCCTTGGGAGATCCCAGGGGAGGGAACTCAAAACACACCTCGGCGTGCGTCCCTCCTCTTCTCCCTCACAGTGTCCGACACCTAGGGACACAAAAAAAACGCTTCACCCTCCACCAATCACGTAACAATTCTAACCACCTACGTTATCATTTCAGAGTGCAGAAATTAGTTTCAAACAGACCTAAAACCTTTTTAAAGGTAAAAAAACTTACATCGTTTTCAAAGATACAAACCACCACGTTGATAATGAAGACAATGTCTTTTGTCTCACATCCACAAATTTGAGATATTAGAAATGTAAATTACCGCACGTCAAAGTGACTTTTAGCCCATTTTATCTCATTTTACTCATGAAATATTACAATAAATCATCACCAAAAATTGTCTTAGTCAATTTTTTAAATAATTTTCATTTTTCAGACAACAAGTGTTTCTACAAAATCATAACGATTGAGCCCTGGTAAGGCTATACAATTTTAAATATAACATCTGAATTCTGGGGCGTTATTCAGCGCATTTCCACAAGCAATTTTTTCTTTGCTACATTTTGTAAAACAGGTGGACGTATCAAAACATCATCACTACCAGGTGCATGAATGTAAAAATTCTGTAAAAATGGTGCAAAATTAGAAGAAAAGTGATATAATGTGAATATCCGACTAGAAACACAAAATGGGATTTTTTTCGAAAATGTGAATTGTCAAATGGCATTATATGTGATATGTGAAATTATGTGACCCTTTTAAAATTTGATTCGATCAATTTAGTAAAATCAGACCACCCTTAAGCGTGACCAAAAAAATGTGAATGTAAAATGTGAAAATATGTAAAGGAATATAAAGGGGCTTAAGCCGAAAATTGCAAGGAGTTAGATGTGAAATTATGTGAAGTCCAAATCACATTGTTTTTCACATTACAGATCAGAATGTTATTCTTTGTGAAAGTGTTTCACATAATTTCACATTTTTCTATATCCAGGCTGATTATGTGATCTTATGTGAAACATTTCTTACATGTAACAGATACTATAATTTTCAGTGTATAAAGGATAAAGGTACCTTTTGCAGGACTGAAATCGAAAAAAAAAACAGCATTAATTTTCCTAGGCGTTATTCACACATTCAAGTATAAACACTATGCTGAAAATGACAAGAGAAAACAGAAAAAAACAATTTTAAATTTGTCAAATTGAACTTTTTGATGAACGTATTGCTGACTGGTATACTTTGAGTAACATTTAATGAAAAAAAGACATAAGGATATACTATTTAAATTTTCTAAAAATGTACATAGTCTCAAGAAAAAAAAACATTCGGCAGTCGAAGTGATATCAATTTGAGTCTCTTGTTTTCTGAGGCAGAAATACTCAAAAACTCTGAATTGTGTATTAGTGTACATGTACAGCTCATTGAACCAGTATTATGGGCCTTTATTTTTGACATGTTTCTGGCACTTGAAACACACAAGAAAACGTTGATGATGAATAATCAACGTAACAAGCAGCTTTTAGCGGTGGCATGACAAGGTCATTTTGCATTTTTTTTTGTGATGCCACCCGTAAATCTGCTTGGAGATTAACATGTGCACTTATATTAAGCTTGAGTACAGTAGACATGTGCGTCATCAATTGCTAGAGATACATCTACATGTATGTATCTAAATTATTTTGTAATTTCTTTCAAACCGTGCGTGTGTATTCTAAGTAAAGATTAGGTTGGAGGGTGTGTTAGAGAGGTTTTGATTTGGCCCCTTGTTGGGCTTTCAGACCGCCAGGACTTGTATACCTAACTAGATGCGATAATGAATGAATGAAGACCTTTATTGTACATTTTTGCCACACTTGGCTAAGTACAGGTCACAACAAAACAAGATGAAGGGACAATTGACGGATACAAAAGAAACTAACTATTGTCGTTTTTCAGTTACAGTAGAAATAATGTATCAGATATGTTTTTTGATTGATGGTTCGTTTAGTTGCATTAGGAATATAAATTTTTCTACAGTCCTCTAGTGTATGAAATCAGGGATTATGCACACGGAAGCTGACCTTTAAAAACGCGTACGTTACCAGGATTTTTTAGTGTTTTTTTTTTGCCAGGTGTTTGGATGTAAAACATTTACTTACGCCCGGAGCCAAATTAAATTCCATTGCCTGTAGCACCCGGATATAAATATGTACAAGCAGTAGGGCGATACGTGACAGCAGCAACCAGTCCAATGGTGGAAGTATTTATAATATGTATTATATAATATTTGTGAAAGCAATTGTAGGGAAAGACCTTCGAAGTATAAAAGTTTCTAACATTAAACCTATGAACTGTGACTGTCAAACCAACAGTACTGAAACCAAGGGTAAAATGACGCCATGTTGCGGACAAGTTGCAGAAACTTGATATCATTTAACCCTACCTAGACCGGGGGGGGGCTAAAAGTGCCCGCGGCAACTTTGATGTCAACTAGCGTCTGAACGGCTAGCCGTAGAACGACCAAACTTGGTGACTTTTCCTAAAATATTGTTGGCAACAATTCCTTATCATTGGAATAAAATAATAATTTTTTGTGTTGCCATGGCAACGGGTTTCTGACAGGCATTTTTTGCTAAATTTAGTACTTTTTGTTTCAACAATAGAATTTTATGGCTTGTATGTCAAGTTACTCATGGTTTCTAATATTAATAACATCCCATATAATTGTATGTAAATTTTATCATTAAATATGCATAATTTATGCTAATTTGATGACGTCATTGGCCAAAATCCAAGATGGCGGACCATATCATTAGAACAGGTATATATAGGTTATTTTCATTAAAATTTCATCAATACTTCCATTTCTTTTTCCAAAAAAGATTTAAATGAAGGTCTTTAGTATGTTTACAATGTATTTTAGGCTTTATCATGAAAAAGAACTATTTTTGAAAATTCAAGATTCATGATCCAAGATGGCGGATATCTTAAATATGCGGGACGTCATTTTATGACGTCACCGGTGTTGCTATGGGCAACATAAGACTTAGTACACCACAATATTCTGTCATAAACACTTTTGGTACAGTTATGTTGAAAACCATTTAGTTTTCAGGGAAAAACCTATTAAGACGGTTTTGGCCAATAAAATCACATTAATGACGTCATAATGACGTCATATTACGTCATAACGACATAAAAATTGTAGATATGATAAATTTTCACTACTACACCATTCTCTGAAAATTTGGTGGTCATACGACATACCGTTCGCGAGTTCTTAGGGGGGGGTCAAAAGACCCCCCCCGGTCCCCCCATGTCAAAAAAAGCCCGGTCTAGGTAGGGTTAAGCTTCAACTCAACTTTCATCATACATATTGAATGTACAATAATTCCACATAGAACCTAAGAAATCAGCAGGCATATTGTGATGGACTGAATGGCTGATGTCTACGGAAAATCCCGAGAATCCCAGTCTACCCATGCGATCCAGATCAGGAGGACAGTAATCCCGTAAAGAAACTACGTCCCTTCTGAAGACATTTTCGTGTACAACTTGGTGAAAAACTGTCAGTAACTGAACGTCGGGACGTGTGGCGAAGCGGTAACGTGTTCGGCTCGGAACCAAGAGGTCCCGGGTTCGAACTCTACCTTGTCCTCGATCTTGTGACCTTTACACGACCTCACTTCACTCAGGTGTAAATGAGCATGCCAGAATGATCATTATCATGATCGTGGGCATTAAGAAGAAAACCAACTCACGACGAGTTATGTTCAACAATGCATGTATCTTTCGTGAAGCACAGAGTTGATGTGGTATGCTCTACATACATATTCATACTACATTGTAAGCAATCTACTCCCAAGGACTGGAACTCTCTCATACGGGACTACACATGTACAGCGGCTCTCCCGGTTATGCAGCAAGGACGTTTTTACCACATCTCGTATACGGGTGTCGGCACACTGGAATGTCGAGAACAGTATACAACCTACAAGGCCATCTACATACTCTATAGTCTCCAGGCAAAGGAATGGATACTTCTTATACTGAGGCTCTGACATGTCACAGTTCACGGTCCCTTTTCTTTTTGACTTTATCTAGCTGTCCTCTTTTTGGCCGCCTTATCAAAATATATCTTATCCTTTTTGTCGAAGTTAACTTTACAACAAACGTAAACCTCCATTGGACTGGTGGCTCCACGGAACCACTATTATTGTATGTTTTTCCAATCACTGGGCCATGCCGTCTCTTTGGACAAAGTTAGTATACTGGACACTGAACAGGAATACTTTCTAAGAGGCATTAAGGAGGCCATATTTTTCAGAGCACTTCAGCCTTCACTTAATAGAGATGGTGGACGATATAAACTCCCTGGCACTTTTGCTTAATTGCTCACATCAAGTATCAGTAAAGTATCGTGTGAATAAGGTCACGTGTATGTAACCGTAACTCTCGCGAGATCACGTTGTGAAGTGAGTGGTCATTAATTATCCTGATGAAGGCGACAGTGGTCGCTGAAAATTTGATCTCTGTAAATTGTGTGTTGTACTAAAGTTCAACGTTTTACTACGATTAGTATATGTTCATGATAGTATGTGTTCCTGTGCATGCAGCTGTGCACACAGACAATCTGCAAGGTGACTTCTACCAATTTCTATCTGTTTTGTTTCTTCTTCGATCGTATTCACCGTAACGTCAGATGACAAGATGTACCAACTATGAAGCCAAACGCATGTTTACTGCTCACTTCTATTACGTCTAAGCACACTGAACTGATTTTCATGCTATTAAAAATCATAAGAGACCACATGCTGAATTTGTCACCTTCAATTGACTTCAAGTATAAGATAATTGAATAAGTATTTACACATCGTTAAATATATCAAATAATATACATATATATTACCTAAGTATCAAACCATATACAAATATTTAGTTAGCTTGTTAGTTTATGGATTTCTTGCTTTCATCATTATCGTGAATCTAGCATAGTTCTGTGTCTCACTGGCTACCTTAAGGCCAGAGACGTGGGCAGACAGTACAATTACCTTTGCCCATAGAGGGTTATGGGCATAACAAAAATGATGAAAATACGTTGCTCCAATCTGGACTTATT